TCCTTATTTTACAATCACTTGGGTTATTACAATACAATACAATACAATACAATACAATACAATACAATACAATACAATACAATACAATACAATACAATAGCAGTACTGGAAAGGGCCTTGGAGGTCTTCTAGTCCAACCCCATGTCTAGGCAGGAAACCCTATACCGTTTCAGACAAATGGTTATCCAACATCTTCTTAAAGACTTCCAGCGTTGGGGCATTCACAACTTCTGGAGGGAGGTTGTTCCACTGATTAATTGGTCTCATTATTAGGAAATTTCTCCTCAGTTCTAAGTTTCTTCTCTCCTTGATTAGTTTCCACCCATTGCTTCTTGTTCTGCCTTCCAGGTACTTTGGAGAATAGCTTGACTCCCTCTTATTATTGGAAGATTGCTATCATGTCTCCCCAAGTCCTTCTTTTCATTAAACTAGACATACCCAGTTCCTGCAACTGTTCTTCATATGTTCCACTGATTAATTATCAGTTTTTATGTCCCAATTTCAATGTTTTAATAACAATGAAGTACAAAAGGGGAGCTAGGGCCCTCTCAGAGGGTGTTGGCTGGTTAAGAAGTATGAAATATAATAAATTAAAAAGAAAAAAGAAAACATACTCCCTTGTCTAGAATAAGCAAGGGAGCAGCATCCTGGGTTTTTTTTTTTTAACTAGGCACACTACCCATCTCATCCTAAAAGTAAAGGTGAAGGTTCCCCTCGCACATATGTGCTAGTCGTTCCCGACTCTAGGGGGCGGTGCTCATCTCCGTTTCTAAGCCGAAGAGCCAGCACTGTCCGAAGACATCTCCGTGGTCATGTGGCCGGCATGACTCAATGCCGAAGACGCAGGGAGCGCTGTTCCCTTCCCACCAAAGGTGGCTCCTATTTTTCCATTTGCATATTTGATGTGCTTTTGAACTGCTAGGTTGGCAGAAGCTGGGACAAGTCACGGGAGCTCGCTCCGTTACGCAGCGCTAGGGATTCGAACCGCCAAACTTCTCATCCTGGCCACCATTTTATTTATTATTTGCATTTACTTGCAGCTAGACCTTGGACTTTCAAGAGTTCATTTAGTGGCCGTTCGAAATACTTATGACTGGTTGCAATGTCGTGGGGGGTAATCCCCATTTTGTGACCTTTCGACAAGCAATAATCCACGGGGGAACCCCATATCCCTTAACAAATGTGTGCCTCGTTTATCAACGGTGGCATTTCGCTTCAACAATGGTGGCGAGAAAGGTCCTTATAATGAGGCAAAGCTCACATAATGATGGAAAATGTGGCTGCAAGTCTACTGATGGGGCTACTTGGTTTTATTTTATTTTATGAAGGCATCTCCAGCAACCACGGCTGTCCATCAGCCCCATCCACCCTTCCCTCCATCCAGAGGTACTGGGGACTCACCTTTAGGATGGAGTTGTCCTGTCTGGTGTTCTTCGTGTCGTATCCTTCCAACAAGCAGCATCGGACAGTCAGCCCCGAGCCTGCAAACTCGGCCAAGTTCAGGTCGGTGAATCCCAGCTGTAAGGCGAACGGAGAAAAGATTAGGAGGATGGAAAGGATGCACATTGCAGGCGAATCAAAGTTTGCAATCCCACCTGCGCTCCAGGAAGAGCTGTTTGGAGAGATAACTGTTGGTCGGAAATGGTGCAGGGCTTCCTGCCTGAACAAGGGGTTGGACTAGGAGACCTCCAAAGCCCCTTCAAACTCTTCTATTCCATTCCCTTCCATTCCATATTCTATTCTTTTCTCTACTCTACTATATATTCTATTCTATAGTCTACTCCACTCCACTATTTCATATTCTATTCTATTCTTCCTCTACTCTAATTCTATACTCTATTCTATTTTTTTACTCTTGTTCTATTCTATTGTAATTCTATATTCCTATTCTATTCTCTATTCCTATTCTATTCTAAATTCCTATTCTATTCTCTATTCTTATTCTATTCTCTATTCCTATTCTATTGTATTCCATCCCATTCATTATTTCATTATCTATTCTATTTCTATATTCCTATTCTATTCTTACTCTATTCCATCCCATCCCATTATTTCATTCTCTATTCTATTCTAAATTCCTATTCTATTATACTCTAAATTCCTATTCTGTATTCCTATTCTATTCTATTCCATCCCATTCATTAATTCATTATCTATTCTATATTCCTATTCTATTCTTATTCTGTTCCATCCCATCCCATTATTTCATTATCTATTCTATTCTCTATTCCTATTCTATTCTCTATTCCTATTCTATTTTAATTCTATATTCCTATTCTATTCTCCATTCTTATTCTATATTCCTATTCTATTGTATTCCATCCCATTCATTATTTCGTTATCTGTTCTATTTCTATATTTCTATTCTATTCTTATTCTATTCCATCTCATTAGTTCATTCTCTATTCTATTCTAATTCTATTCTATATTTCTATTCTATATTCCTATTCTATTCTTATTCTATTCCATCCTATCCTATCCCATCCCATTCATTATTTCATTCTCTATTCTATTCTAATTTCTGTTCTATTCTAATCATATTCTATTCTATTCTGAATTCTATTCTATTCCTATTATTTCATTCTCTCTTCTCTTCCCTCTCTGCTTCTCCATTCCATTTACTCTCTTCTGTTCATTTCCCCATCCTAACCTTGCCCTTGTTTTCCAGGAAACTCTGATCATCCTGGGAAAGGACCAGGATTATAATCAGCCTGGCAAGGAAAATGTTAACTCGCACAGAGAGGTTGCATAACCAAGGACACCAAACATGCCAGGTCAGTGATGTGGAAAAGGTTCACTCCCATGTATGTGTACACAGATACAATAAGGCACTCTTTGTCCTGCGCTCATCCCAGAGCCCATGCAGCCAGCACGGGGAGGGAGGAAAAATTGAGAGTGAGAAATGAAAGCTGGTTTGGTCTCCTTTAGGGGGACAAGATTGAAAGGGAAGCATCTCCAAGCACGTTAAAAAAAAAAAAATCATACCCAGCTGGTCCTCAATTTACAACAGTTCATTTAGTGTCTATTCAGTTACAACAGCACTGAAAAAAAGGGACCTAGGACCATTTTTCACACTTTTACGACCTTTACAGCCATCCCTGGGGGTCATGTGATCAAAATCGAGAACCCTTGGCAACTGGTTCATATTTATGACGATTGCAGTGCCCCTCCCCCCCGGGGTCATGCTATCGATCCCCTTTTGCGACCTTCTGCCAAGCAAAGTCCACAGGGAGTCCAGATCCGTTTAACAACGATAACTGCGGCAATTCGCTTAAATCACTGGGGCAAAGAAGGTCATAGAACGGAGCAACATTCACTTTCAATGAATGTCTCACTCAAGAACAGAAATCCCGGGCTCAGTTGTGTTTGTAAGTTGAGGACTACCTGTATAAAGATTTTAAGCATTTCCTTAAGCAGCCTTGAAGTCAACTGTTGACTTCCAAGATCTTGAAGTCAACTGTTGACTTACAAGACCTTGAAGTCAACTGTTGACTTCCAAGACCTTGAAGTCAACTGTTGACTTCCAAGACCTTGAAGTCAACTGTTGACTTCAAGGCTGTTCCGCACTTAA